GACGGGTTTCTCCATGTTGATCAGCCTGGTCTCCAACTCCCGACCTCAGGTGATCCGCCCTCCTTGGCCTCCCAAAATGCTGGCCTGAGCCACAGCACCCTGCCTTTTGCCCATTTTTATTTTTTCTTGCTCTGTCAGTCATCCAGGCTGGAGTACAGTGACACGATCTTGGCTCACTGCAACCTCTGCCTTTCGGGTTCAAGCGACCTTTTGTGCCTCAGCCTCCTGAATAGCTGGGATCACAGGAGCCTGCCACCGCAACTGGCTTTTTTTTAAGAGTCAGGGTTTCCCCACGTTGGCCGGGCTGGTCTCAAACTCCTGACCTCAGGTGATCTACCTGCCTCAGCCTCCCAAAGTGCTGGGATTACAGGCATGAGCCACCATGTCCGGCCTTTTGCCCATTTTTAAATTGGACTTTTTGTTGAGTTGTAAAAATTCTTTATATATTCTGGATACTATTCCTTTTATTATGTACACTGTTTGGAAATATTTTTTTCCCATTCTGCGGGTTGTCTTTTACTTCCTTAATAACATCCTTTAATGCACAAAAGATTTTAATTTTAATGAAGTTCCAGTTTATCCATTTTTTTTTTCTTTTGTGGCTCATGCTTTTAGTGTCACATCTAAGAATCATCAAATCGAAGGTCACAAAGATGTATGTACACCCATGTTTTTGTTTTCTTCTAAGAGTTTTATCGTTTTGGCTTTTTTTTTTCTTTCACCAGAGACAAGGTCTCACTCTGCCACCCATGCTGGAGTGCAGTGATGCAATCTGGCTCATTGCAGCCTCTAACTCCTGGGCTCAAGGGATCCTCCCACCTTGACCTCCCAAAGTACTAGGATTGCAGGTGTGAGCCACTGCGCCCAACCAGTTTGAGCTTTTATGTTTAGGTCTTTGATCCATTTTGAGTTAATTTTTGTATGTGATTTAAGAGTCTTAACTCATGCTTTTGCATGTGGTTATCCAGTTGTCCCAGCACCATTTGTTGGAAAAACCTTCTCTTTTTTTGAATGGTCAAAAAAACCCACAACTTTATAGTATTGACAGTGTTGTGTGTCTTTCCTGGATCATGATTGAAACGAATAAAAAGAACCAAATAGTGATTCTTGAAATGAAAGAATACAAGAATCAGCTAGGTGTGATGGCTCACGCCTGTAATCCTAACATTTTGGGAGGCCGAGGTAGGCAGATTGCTTGAGCCCCGGTATTTGAGAGTTCAAGATGAGCCTGGGCAACATGGTGAAACCCCGTTTCTACAAAAAAAATACAAAAATTAGCCAGGTGTGGTGGTGTGTGACTATAGTCCCAGCTATTTGAGAGGCTGAGGTGGGAGGATCACTTGAACCCAGGGAGGTTGAGCTGCAGTGACCCATGATTGTGCCACTGTACTCCAACCTGGGCAACAGATTGAGACCCTGTCTCAAAAAAATAAAAAATAAAATACAATAACCAAAACTTAAAACCTAATGGATAGGTTAAACAGTTGGAAGCAGTGAATTAGAAAATAAATTATTGAGAATGCAGGGACCAAAAAAAGAGAGACATGAAGACATGGAAGAGAGTGGAAAGGTCTATTATACATTACACATTTAATCAGAGTTCCAAAAGGTGGCAGACCAAATGTTTGAAACGATAATGGCTACCAAGTGTTCAGAACTGAAGAAAGCTACTGATCCACAAATTTGTTTGTTTTTTGAGATGGAGTCTCACACTGTCACCCTTGAGTGAAGTGGCACAATCTTGGCTCACTGCCAACCCCAATTCCTGGGTTCAAGCAATTCTCCTGTCTCAGTGCACCACCATGCTCGGCTAATTTTTATATTTTTAGTAGAG